GAGGAGCCTGCTTCTCCCTCTGCCTGCCACTCCCCCTGCTTGTACTCTCCCACTCTCTCTCTCTCTGGCAAAAAGATAAATACAATCTTTAATTAAAAAAAAAAAAATGGTTCCACTGCACATACATTAGGGTGCTCAGTCAGGAAAGTTTAACATTCTAACAACAGAGGAAAACCAAGATGCCACTGACAATACTTAAAAGCCCTAGGATATATGACAAATGAAATTCTAAAAAACTATAACTGCTGTTTTCCTGATTTTGAGGGTCTAAGCGCATTTCCTAAATGTTCTTAAAATTCAAATTCAGTGTACATCTGAGACATTCTCTCTATGGAAACGTGTGGAGGCTCTGCACTCAGTGGTGAAGACATGGATGGCAGGCAGTGCTCACTAGCTATTAAATCACGTACACTTCCCCTCAGGTCTCAAAGTCCCATGTGCACTGCACACTCTGTATGCCTCCTCTCACTTAACCCTCCCCAACCCTATGATGCTGATACTGGTGTTACTGCAACTTACAGTGCTGTGTACCTTTGGGGGTGGGGGTGTTCCTCTGGAACTATAGAAATCTTGGATGTTAACTTTATAAGCAGTCAATTATAGATCCTTACATGCATTTCAGGGCTAAATTATTCCAGATATACAACTTGCACCATTACAGGCATACTGAATATCTGCTAGAGAAAAGATTACTTTGGCTTTAGGCTAAAGAGAAACACTCCTTGCCCAAACATACACTCCCTGTCACTGGACCCTGAGAGGTCCCGAAAGACATGTCATCCTCTCCTAAGAGGAAGAAGGAAGAAAACTGGGTGCTAATACTAGGGAAGAACACGCCCCTTTCTAAGTTAGTTGCGGACAACTGACTAAATTCTGGCCAAGGAGTTATAAGCTAAACTGTATGATGAGATTTCTAGGAAGGTGGTTTTAAAGGGAAGGAAGGGGTTGCCCCCGCCACTCACCCCATTCCTTCCTCCTGTAATCTGGAATTTAGATGTGATCATTGGAGCCCCGGCAGCCTTTATGGACCCTGAAGTGACCTAAGGATAGCAGAATAGAGAGCTAGAAAGAAATCAAGTTCTCTGATGACACTAACTGCAATACCAGTCTTGCTTATTTTTATTTCATATATATGAGAAAGAAAAAAACCTATTTTATTTTCTGATCTATACAACTAACTCCAATCCTGATACAGCTAGTTATAAGGAATAAGAAGACGAACTCTTAATATTATGACTTGTGATGATCTAGGAATGGGAATGAAGGTGTTCTGGAATGTATTTTTCTCAGCCCTCTTGCTAGTAAGTACAATGCTGCATTCATTTGCTAAAGAAAAAATATTTCAAGGAATCAATATTGTGAAGCCCCCACCAGCAAAGGAAAGCTCAGCCAATCTGCACATTGCCAAGAGTGTAGACTTTGGCTGTGATAGCTTCCATTAAGAAAATATCTATTCCAAGTTAAGCATTCAATATTCAATACATTAGCACTAATAAAATGTGATCAAGTGTCAGGTACAAATTATCTCAATATTTGGCACTTTATCTCCGTTAAATCTCATAGCAACTCTATAAATTACATACTCTTCTTAACTCCCATTTTGCAGATAAAGAAATTGAAAGATGATCACATAGCTGTTAAATTGTGTAAGGAGAATTCAAATCCAGGGCTACCTGACTTCTCTTCACAAATCTTATCATGATCTGTTCTTTTAAAACTGTAAAGACTAGGGGCACCTGGGTGGCTCAGTTCATTAGATGACGGACTCTTGGTTTTGGCTCAGGTCTTGATCTTGGGGTCATGTGTTCAAGTCCTGCATTGGGCTCCTTGCTCAGTGAGGAAATCTGCTTAAGACTCTCTCTCCTTCTGCCCCTCCCCCCACAATAGATAACTGTATCTTAAAAAAAAAAGCGTAAAGACAAATGTAGAAACAGATAAATCTTCCTAATGCCAACTAAAACTGATTATTATTTCCATTTTATATATTTCTAAGCAAAGGGGCAGTGAATGTTTTAAATGTGCTCACATTAATCAATCACTGATTTTCAGATATTCAATATATTATGACTGTTCAAGTACTAGTCTTAAGTAAACTCACCTCTTTCATGGAGATGAAGCTCTCAGGGAGAAAGATATGTATTCCACTCTCAGTCTTACTGAGGATGTCTCTCAGGTGTGGGAGAAACAAAGAAGTGGCAGCTAGGACTGTTAAGCTCTGCCCAGGCCTTCTCCTAGAGCTGTTCAGGTTCTCTGATTTGAGTAAAAGGCACCTAGAAGGAGGATTCAATTCCTTCAGCTAATTGTTCACTCAATCAACATTATATTATTTATTATTAAGAACAAAAACTATTTCTGCAACTACAATCCTTGGTTGCCGCTATGTGCTTGGCACTAGTACCAGGCATTCTATATACTTTAATGCATTTAATCCTCACAACCACCTGATGAGTTAGATATCCTTTTTCCATTCTACAGATGAAGAATCTTAAGATCACAGAGGTTAAGGAATTTCCTCAAGGCCACATACCTATTGAGTGGCTATTAGGATTCCAAATCAAGGCTTTTAAAAACTCAAAAGCTCATGTCCTTGCCTTCACGCTTTACCTAATGTTGGGAATACCACCAGACAAATTAGATATGGACACTGTCATCCAGTAGTTCCCTCGCCAGTAGTGAGGCACAGTTTGTTCACACTCTTAATTATCACCTGCCATAAATAATGTTAGCTGATTAACATTAAGGTGGTGAAACTGCAGACCAGAGAAAGAATTTTCAGGGGAGGTAATGCTTGAGCTGAACTTGGGAGGATAAAGAGTAGTGAGCTAAGAAAATGGTCAGAAACAGTCCTTCAAGTGAGAGGACTTGGAGGCCTGAATAAACCTATCTGGTTCCAGGAATGGCAAAGAGCTGGGTAAGGGCATCAAGCAGGACCTCAGTAAGTATGCATTAAATGAATGTGAAAATGACAGACCTGAAAGACTGGGGTCTGTGAGGATATGTGGAAGTACTGCAGGCAGTGAGGTGACCAGAAGCAGTGATGAGATCCTGAAGGGGCTTATATGCCACAATAAAAAGTTTTTAAAGATTTATTTATTTGAGAGAGAGTGTGTGCGTGTATATGTGGGCATGTTGGCACACAGATTGGGTAGGGGGCAGAGGAAGAGGATCTCAAGCCAACTCGGGGCCGAGCACAGAGCCTGACACGGGGCTCGATCCCACGACCCTGAGATCATGACCCCAGCTGAAACCAAGAGCCGGCTGCTCAACTGACTGAGCCAACCAGGTGCCCCCACAATAAAAAGTTCTGATCTTGCACTGAACACACTAAGGAACCACCAAAGGCTTTAGCACAAAGAGAATGACTGGAATAATTTGGATTTCAGAAAAAATGACAGCAGGGTGGAGGATCAACTAACTGGTGGGGTTTGAGGTTAGGAGGGCCACTGATTGAAGCCTTCAAGAGTAATCTAGCCAATAAACCAGGAGGACCTCAGGGCAGGGCAGGAGTATCTAGAGACTCTGATAAGAGGATTTACAGGGCATGACATTGTGATTTATAAGAAATACACATAAATGTAGAGACTTGATGAATCACACTGTTGTATACCTGAAATTAATGTAACATTGTGTGTCAAATATACTTCAATAAAAAATATATATATATATTTGGTCATTCAGATGACCAAAATATATTTCTCAGATATATTTGATCTTCATTCACAGTTCCTGGCTCACAGCTCCCAAACCCTTAAAATGTCCTGAGAGACAAGAACAAGGAGGATCTTTTGTTGTATATTGTCTCTTGCCCTCAGTTCCTAAAAATGCTTCACAGCCATAAAGGTGAAATGTGTGTTTTATAATTCATAATAAAGTCTTTCCACCATAACTGGGTTTATATTAATGAAGGTGACTTTTGCAAAGCACCTAAGAATGGAGACTGGTTGTGAGGGGGACCAACCATGAATAGAAAGTTGGAACTTTCAGTCCCACCCTGATTTCTTGGGAAGAGCAGCTAGAGGTTGAATCAATCACCAATGACCGATGAATTAATCAACTGTGCCCATGTAATGAAGTCTCTATAAAAAACAAAAAAGAAGGGGGTTCAGAGAGCTTCCACACTGGGAAACTAGAATACTTCCATTTGCCACGCTGCCAAGCCCCAAGTTCCACAACGAAAGAAGCTCCTTTGCTTGGGACTTCGTCAATGTTATCTTTTCATCCGGCTGTTGATTTGTATCTTGTAATATCTTTTGTAATACATCAATTATCTAGTGAGTAAACAGGTTTTCCTGAGTATTGTGAGCTGTTATGGTAAATTAATCAAGCCCAAGGTCCTGGGAACCTTTGATTTACAGCCAGTTGGTCAGAAGTAGAGGTAATAACCTGGCCTTGTGACTGGCATCCTGAGTTGGAGGGGGGTCAGTGGAACCACCAATTGGTAGCCGGTCGTCTGAACCAGAGGGAGGTCCTATGGGACTGAGCCCTTTACCTGTGGAATCTGATTCTATCTCCGAGTAGATAGTGTCAGAACTGGGTTGAATTCTTGAACACAATGCTGGTGTACAAAAATTGTTTGCTGGTGTGGCAAAGCGAGACACACACACACACACATTGAACTGGATCCAGGAACCCTTTCACAAGGGTAGAACTGAAGACTTAACAATGAGATGCCAGAGGTAAGGAGGGTCGACTTAGGTGAATCGTAATGCTATAAGCAGGAGGATGACCACTCTGGGGACGTGACATACCATGGAGAAGGCGATAAGCTTAGTTCTGAACATGGAGAATGCACATGACGTATCTACATGGGGCAGGGGTGCGCGGTATGAGGGTGGGAGAAGGGGCAGAATGGCAGACAAGCAATGACAGAGCAGCTGCCACGGAAGTCAGGCAGTAAGCCAAAGAAAGGAATAAGACAGCTGTAAGAGTGACGAAAGCAGCAATGAGAGAGCCAGGCAAGAGACATCTGACAAGCGCAGGAGGCAGGAGTAGGTGGGTTTGGATGAGTAGAAAACTGATATATGCCATCAAGAGAGGGTGGGGTAGGAACAGCACACTGAATACTTGCCAGGGAGAGAAAAGAGCTTGAAAACCTGCTGAAGGCTTCTGAAGAAGGCCTAGTACACCAGAAATCAACTTTCATTACTATAGGTCTTCTCTTAAGGCAATGTGGCACAGAGGTCCAAAACAAAGGGAAAAGGACCCCCCTTCCCCAAAATTAGCAAAAGTCTGAAACCCTGAAGAGATGCTCACTTCCACTGATGAAATTCAGAACTACCAAAGGTATAAAAAAGATTAAGTTACACCTAAGGCAAGATTAAGTTTTGGGGCATGGAGAGAGATGAGCCTGGAGGCAAGGAAGTCAATCAGATTACTTCAATAAACAAATTAGTTTGGTATAAATTTATATTGCAGATTGATTAAGACAAAGAAGAATGTGGAAAAGTATTTGCTCTGTTTAAGCACACCTTAGAATAAATTAATGGATATATGAAACCAAAGTATAGTACAGTTACATGCATAAAATAACAAAAACAAACCAGGGGCAATTTTGAAAAGGAAGAATAAAATGGGAGAAATCCATTTACCCAATGTTAAGACTTAGTATACAGATACCATAGTTAAGACAGTGTGGTATTAGCAAAGGGATAAATTACAGACCTATGAAATAAAACAAAACCAGAAACAAACACACACAAATATACCCAAATATTTTTGACAAGGATGCAAAAATGGAGGAAGGACAGCCTTTTCAACAAATGGTGCTGGGAAAACTGGATACTGTATCCACATGCAAAAAAATGAAGTTGGTTCCCTAACACCTAGCCTTTGAACAATGGTTCAAAGACCATTAGGTCTTTGAAAATGGATCAAAGACCTAAACATAAGGGCTAACACTGTAAAATTCTTAGAAGAAAATATGGGGGGGGGGGAGCTCCATGGCACTGGATTTGGCAATGCTTTTTAAAATATGGCACTAGAAGCACAGTTCAACAAAACAAAAAAACAGGTAAGCTGGACTTCATCAAAATTAAAAACAGCTGTGCATCAATCAAGGATCACTATCAAAAGAATAAAAAGAAAACCAACAGATGGGAGAAAACGTGTGCAAATCACCTGATAAGGAATTGAAAATCAGAATATATAAAGAACTCCTACAACTCAACAACCAAAGAAGCCAACCCGATTAAAAAATGGGCAAAGGACATGAACAGACATTTCTCCAGGGAAGAAAAATGGCCAATAAAAATACAAAAAGATGCTCAAATCACTAATCCTTAGGGAAATGCAAGTCAAAACCATAAGGAGACACCACTTCCATGCCCATGAGAATGGCTATTACTTAAAAGAAAAAAAAAGAGAAAGATAAAAAGGGGAAAATAACATGTGTTGACAAGGATGTGGAGAAACTGGAAACCTGTACACTGTCGGTGGAAATGTAAAATGGTGCAGTCACTGTGGAAAACAGTAAGGTGATTACTCAAAAAAAAAATACAGAATTACCATATGATAGAGCAATTCTACTTCTGGGTATATACCCCAAAGACCTGAAAGCAGGAACTCACACAGATATTTTGTACACCAATGTTTATGGCAGCATTATTCACAACAGCCAAAAGGTAGAAGCAACCTAACTATCCACTGACAGAAGAATGGATAAACAAGATGTGGTATATACATACACTGGAGTATTCAGCCTTAAAAAGAAAATTCTGACATATGCTACCATATGGATGACCCGTGAAGACACAATAATAAATGAAATAAAACCAGTTGCAAAAGGACAAATATCGTGTGATTTCATTTATATTAAGAGTATGGTCTGGGGCGCCTGGGTGGCTCAGTCGTTAAGTGTCTGCCTTCAGCTCAGGTCATGATCCCAGGGTCCTGGGTTCGAGCCCCACATCGGGCTCCCTGCTCAGCAGGAAGCCTGCTTCTCCCTCTCCTACTCCCCTGCTTGTGTTCCCTCTCTCACTGTGTCTCTCTCTGTCAAATAAATAAATAAAATCTTTAAAAAAAAGAATATGGTCAAATTCATACAGACAGAAAGCAGAATAGTGGTTACCAGGGGTTGTTGGGGGGGGGCAGGGAGGGGAGAATGTGAAGAGTTGCTCAATAGGTACAGAATTTCAGTTTTGCAGGATAAAAAGTTTTAGAGATGGACAGTGATAATGGTTACCCAACAATGTGAGGAACTTAATGCCGTACTATACACTTAAAAAGGGTTAAAATGGTAAATTTTATATTATATAGACAACAATAAGAAAAT